AGCTAAAACAAGACAGCAAATATATCAAAATCACAGGGAAAAAATGTTAAAAATGGTTCAACTTATGCAGAAACGAATTCTCTCAACCTTGATCCCAAACTTTAACAGCATAGCAAAAGTTTGCAAATTAAATCTACTTTTAAACCATTTTTATATTTTTGCATAAAATCACAGGGCAGAAATAACTAACAGCAATTTTTAGCTGGCTTTGTTGAAATACCCCATATAGGATCAGAGCGAACCGGCGGCATCCAGTCGATGTATGCTTTAGGTATAAAGTTGGTCTCATCAGACTCCACCTGGGCTTTCCTCTTCTCGAGGGTACCAGGGCATTTTCGTTGGCCGGGTTGTCCAGTCCTGCCAATGGAGGCAAGCTTCCTCACCTTCTTTGGAGGTCTCTGGAACCCTACAAACAAGGCAAATAGGTTCTCCTCTTCTTGGTTCAGCTCTTTTTCAACTTTCTGGAAGAACTTCACACAAAGCCACACAATCAAACTCACGTCCAATTTTTTTGTTAAAACCGACAAAATCCCTATGGAAGTTATGCAAAAACAGACTCTAAGATAAGTAGCAAAATTACTACCACTATTTGTATGACGTGTTGGTATCAAGGGGAGAGAAAATGTGACAAGTTAGCTTTGCTGGAAAAAAAATTGCAACCTTTCTGCAGATCCTGGTTACTCAAAACAAAACAAAACAAAAAAAAAAACTTCGTGGATTCAGGACAGAATGCATAAAAAATTTCCAGTATTATGTCAAAGAAACCTTAGTAAATGTCAGGTGTATTTCCAGGTCTGTTCAGTCCTTTGTAGGAAAGTTTTTTTCTCTCAACAGTTCCATCAATAGGAATCTGTTGAGACCTTTTCTCCCTATATTTCCAGAAACAATTTCTGTAGATGTGAAACAATTGAATCATACAATATTACAAGGTGACAATCACCATTGACAATTTACATACATACCAGATACTGAGAGGTTTTTTTTTTATACACATTTTAGAAAACTACTGTTAACATTCTGTACATACCAAAGTTTTACCATTTTCCCAAGTGACAGTGCTTCCCTTCCAGTTTTACTTCATTAGGTAAAAGCCAAATAGAACAAATTCATGTAATGCCTTCCCAGGAGGAAAAGGAGAAACTTCGTGGAAGGGGAGGTTCCCTGCCCCACCCAAGGGACCACCCTGTTGCATGCTCACTGAGTCCGCCGATCTTGGGCACAACAATTAACTCAGGAACAGAACTAACCAACCTTTCTGTACCTGAGGTACTAGAAAAAAAAAAACCCGCAAACCAAAGTCAACCAAATAAAACCCAAAGCAGAAGACCCCCCAAAAAAATGTAATGCCGGGGGCCTCCCCGGTGGCTCAGCGGTTGAGCGCTGGGTTGCGAAGCTGCCCGCAGCCTCCGCGGCGCCGGTTCGATCCCCGGCTGCTCCCAGGCCACCGGAGGAGGGTTCCACATGGCGCGCAGACCTCTCCTGCTGCCCGCTGCTCCCCTCAGCAGTGTACTTCGGTCCTTCTGCCTGCTCTGCTCTCCCCTCTGGATCTGGTGAATTCTCTCACCCTCCCGCACCTCTGACTGTACCCAGTGCATGTATAAACAAACAAACAAACAAAATAAATAAATAAATTAAATAAATAAAGCATGCCTCTATAAAAAAAAAATGTAATGCCATGTAATAAGGAAATTTTGGAATAGCTAAGTATGTGTCAATTTTTGGTAAATTAAAATGCTGACTTTCAATTAGGGAAAAGAGAGGGATGCATAGTATCTCTCTCATTTTCTCTGTTCTATCTCCCCAGAAGTGAGTAGCTGCTGCACCTCCCCCTGCAGTGACCTTTAGGGCTAATGGCTTTCGCCAAGGTCCCTAGGTCCGGCTGGGCAAGGAACCAGCGCGCAGGGGAGTACAGCAAAGTTCCCTGAAGACATAGATAAGACAGAAGCTTATCAAAAGATTAAGACCACCAGGAGCTAAAAAACCTTATCTCGTCTTTCTAGAACTACAAACTTTATCCCTTTATTGTCTTTCTAAACTTCCTTCTTTCTTCTATAAAGGTCATTTGTTGTTAATTAAAAAATCATATAAAATCCTTAACACAAGTCTGACTCAAATGAAACGTTACTAAACCCTGTAATAATTAAAATATAGTTTAGGTGAAAAAAGTAGTTAGTAAAACAAAAAATGCGATCATATAGTTTAAAAACAAAACTAATGGTCTATCTACTTAGGAATGAGGTAAATCACTCAGTGATAAGCTAAATCCATTCACTGTTCTGTGCTTTTGGAAACATATATATACTGGCAACTAACTTAAATAAAATCGCACTCAGATTTACACTCTCTCTTGAAGTGTGTCTGTTTGTCATTTCTTCAGCTGAATCCCTGACCACCCTGCGCAGTCTCTCAACCCTGAGACGGCCTCATCGTTCACTGCTGTGCTGGTCCGCGGCAGGTAGCTTATACCCTAAAACTTAGAATCAGTTCAGTCACTGCGGTTGGCTAGTGAGAATTTCCCCCTTCCCCACTCCTGGACAGCAGTTGGTAAATCTTGACATGCAGTAGACAATGCATTTGTTAAGTTCTTGCCTGTATCTTGGAACTAAAACCATATCCCTGCCAAGATTGTGACTTCCTAGGAGTGTTTTTCATTTCCCCCTTTTAAAAAGACATTTATTCAATGTCGTGATTGGACTATTACATCTAGTAATCAAAAACATGGGTGCAAAACAAACTACATTAAAACCCTTTGTTGGAATGTGCTCCACTTTCCACAGAACAGAAACTGAAATAATCTGTTATGCGATTAGTCACAAATACAGCTCTTGAGTTCTTTGAGTTCACATACGCATGAGTATTATCTAAAACATGTCGTCTTTGTCAGTGTGATGTTCTGACACTGTTGTGCTTGGCTGAGTTCACAAATCTGTCCTAACACGAAGCTTCCCTGTCACTTCTCTGCCTCTCCTCTTGCTAAGCTTTGTTTCTTAGCATTTAATAAAAATGTTTGAAATTGTCACAGCTACTGCAGTCCCCCGCAACCTGGTTTCTTGTTTGGCTAAGTACTGGCCTCCACCACTGTAGGCTCCAGAGCTTTGGCCTCCAAAGTTTCTTCCTTGCATTGGTCCAAAATATGACTGTTGCAATTGCTAAAGTCCTTGTAGCTTTCGTCATCTCCAAAATTGCTTCCATCATTACCAAATCTGTTACAGCCCTCCCCATTGCCACCATATCCACCACCATGGCTACCACCAAAGCACCTTGACCACTGAAGTTTCCTCCATGACTAAAGTTGTCATTCATGGGAGTTTTTCACCAACTTTGTGTTGCGACCCATTAGAAGGTTGGGAAACTCAATTTATTTGGTCATGAATGCCAACTTAAGGGAGGTATTGCTTTGTGAAACTTTCATGTCAATACCATATCTACAAAATCATTCACTCATTTATTCATTCAACCACTCATTCATACAACAAGCATTTGTTGAGCACCTATTATGTGCCTGGAGATTCAGAAGGAAGGAGAACAGAAAGTCTGCTTGCACATGTTCTCTAGATCACAAAGCTTTGGTCACTGTAGGAATATGAGACCATGAGCAAGGGGTTACTTCCTGTGTATGTCAGAAAGTCACCCTAAGAAAAGCACAGGCCTCTGTTTGAACACCTTTCCAGTATCGGGGGAAACAGAGCAGCTTTAGAAGAGAAACTCTGCCTGTAACCTGCAGCCCATTGAGTGAGGCCAGAAAATCATGGGTGAAAACTGTGTTTTCTTTCCCAAGCTATTGCTAGTGTAGACAATAATCATTAATCATGTTTCTTAGTCTATAGAGCCCCATCTTCCTCAGAGGACTGTGAAGACCCCCCCTTTTTTTTTTTTTAAAGATTTATTTATTTATTTATACAAGCACTGGGTACAGTCAGAAGCGCGGGAGGGTGAGAGAATTCACCAGAGCCAGAGGGGAGGGCAGAGCAGGCAGAGTGACAAAGTACACTGCTGAGGGGAGCAGCGGGCGGCAGGAGAGGTCTGCTTACCATGTGGGAACCTCGCCGGCAGCCGGCGCTGCAGAGGCTGCAGGCAGCTTCGCAACCCAGGGCTCAACTGCTGTGCCACTGGGGAGGCTCAAGACCCCTCTCTTGAGGTATGATTTTCTCCTCGACCTTGTTTCTTCCCAATCTCCCTGCCCTCTCTCCCTCTTCCCTGAGGGAGAGTTTGAGTTTCCCGACCTTCTAATGGGTCACAACACAAAGTTGGTGAAAAACTCCCATGAATGACAACTTTAGTCATGGAGGAACTTCAGTGGTCAAGGTGCTTTGGCGGTAGCCATGGTGGTGGATATGGTGGCAATGGGGAGGGCTGTAACAGATTTGTTAATGATGGAAGCAATTTTGGAGATGACGAAAGCTAAAAGGACTTTGGCAATTGCAACAGTCATATTTTGGACCCATGCAAGGAAGTCACATACCTCCCCCAGGCTCCTGTGAAATGGGAACAACAAAAGCACCTGTGTCTGGAGGTGCTCTGTTGTGGGGCTACACATGTGGGTTGAGCTGATCCCAGTAGTAGTGATAATTAGACAAAGACTTTGCTAGATAATCAAAGTGAGGATCTGAACTCAGGCATAGTCTGATAGACTTTGAGGGAACGTCTCTGCCATTCACTGGTTTTAATGCAGGGACACACCTCAGGAAAGATGGGAGTAATTATTTTCTTAGGTCAAATGGTACAGTGTCCAGTGGGTTAGGTTTTGGCAAGGGTTTTGGTTTTCATTTACAGGATTTAAAGTGTCAGACTTTCCCGACTGTTCTGTCTGTCCATGGAGGGAGGTGAGGCACTGTCCTCACACCGTATCCTAACTCTGCGACCAGATTCTTGGATGGGTTCTCCTTGTTTTCATGTTTCTCTAATGACCTTCTGCTCAGAGCAGTTGCTGATTTCATTTCCTCACAGGTGTGTGGATTTTTTTCTGTTGGTGTCTTCACAGAGCGGGCCAGACAATTCTGACTGAGTCTGGGCCAGGGTTTTGAACTTCCTTCCCACCTGTCAGAGCAGGGAGCGGGATCCCCAGACATGACTTCAACTCTCACGTGAGTGACCTTGCAGATCTTCACAGCAGTGGGGTGGGTGAGGCCAGGGGTGGTGCCTGGGCTGTGGAAGGTGCTTACTGAGGTTGAACTCCTGCTGCAGGGGATGATGCCTCTGTGAAGCTCTTCTCTCCTTCCCCTGCTACCTCCACTCTGGTTTTGAGGGCTCTCCTCCCCAGGACAGTGAAGCCAGTCAGGCCTGAGCTGGGCAGCCCAGTGGTTGAGCCTGCAGGAAGCTGGGGCCCGCCAGGGTCATGGGTCTGGATTGGGCAAGAGCTGAGATTGGGCCCCTCTGATCCTGGTCAGGGATATTTGGAGACACATGTAACTCTGGGAAACTCAGAGGCAGGATGTGGAAGGGGGAGGGACAGAAGGGAAAGAGGAAACTGTACCCCTGGCCCTTTCTGGCTAGGACCCCTCCTGACCTGTGCAATGAGGAATGAAGTGACTGGCCTATGGAGGTGTGGGGTGAGTAGGAGCTCCCCTTCCCTGGGGAAACAGAGACGGTTCTGTCCCCTGCCCCCCACTACACTTTGCCTGAGTTCCAACTCCATTTCTACTTCTATTTACTGTCCAAAGTCCCAGGGGCAGGAGATGCCAGGTTAGAACCACTCGGACAGACGCACGGGCTCAAGGCCCTCCTGGGGTCACCCCCCTCCTCTCCTCTCCTCTTCTAGCGCTGCCTGCCCCACTTCTGAACCTTAGCCTCTCCTTTGCCCTGGGGTCCAGGTTGCCTGAGGGACCTAGGAATCAGCCCCCACACCTCGAACAGGTAACCCAGGTTGGTAGGCGTGTGCGATTGGGGAGTTTGAAATTAAGGAGACTCTGGTTCAGGCACAGTGGAGGCCAGATGGGGAGGTGTGTGGTGGTTTGTTCCTTGAGAGTGTGGAGGGAAGGGTCCTAGCTGGGTCAGGTCCCAAGTAATGGCCTGAGAGGGTGGACACCCAGTGTATGCCACATCCCAGCCCCAAACTCACTTCCCAACTCAGACGCAGCTCAGATCATGGCCTTGACCCACTCAGATGTTATGTTCAAGTCCATCATCTGCCTCCCCCTGAATTAGCATCTGAGCACTAGCATCAGCCCCAGACTCGGTCCTACCACCGACCCAACCTGCCAACTCCAGCTCCAGCCTGGACCAACATGGAGAAGGACTTTCAAGACATCCAGCAGCTGGACCCTGAAGAAGATGACCACCAGCTGGGTGGAGGCGAGAGGCCAGGAACTCATGAGGACAACCCCAGGAAAGAAGACCTGTTTTGGAAAGGCAAGTGTTCAGTTTCTAGCTGTCTAGCTCCCCGTGGCTCTCTGTCTCTCTGAGGTCTCTGTCATATTCACTCCATGACCAGGGACGAGGCCCCTCTGGGTGGGAGGTGCCTGATGCCTCTGCTTGCCCCCGACCTCGCCTTCTCTCTCCCTGCAGGGCCCCAGAAAAGGGCGTGTGTTAGGGCTCAGGGCAAAAATAGGTGCTGGGGACGACTCCTCCCTTCTCCTTCTGACCTGAGCAGAGTGTGCTCTGTGTGTGTGTGTGCGC